AAAAAAAAAAAAAAAATACACTTGTTTTCATCAACTCCAAGGCTGCTCCATCAAAGGCGCCAGTTTTCTACTAATCTAAATGATTAATAAAAAAAAAGATCTCACGTCTATCAATGAGTTTCACTCTATTTTATATATAATTGATCTAATATTCGAGCGAACTATATGTCATATTAAATATATTAATAATAATAGCAAATTTGTCTAATTAGATGACGTGTTTCTAATAAGAAACTGATTTGCTATATGCTTTCTTAAAATCTATTTAACATACACATAATAATAATAATAATAATCATTACCGAGCTCTACAATTAATTTGGCTCTACTCTTTTCAGTGTATTTTGAATATATATATATATTTTTTTTTTTTAATGTAAAGCCAGGTTAATAATAATATATCGTATCAAGAAAACCAAGAGGCAAACAACGCAAGGAATTTTTTGTTGGGCGGTAATAATTTGGTGATATGGTATTAAAGGGGGAATGAATTGTTGAAGGTGTGACAATATAAAACCAGAGTTGGATGATCAGGGATTATTGAAGAGGAATGAAACAAGTGATTCCTCCTCATTTAATTTGTTTGTGCGTTCAACAGAATAAAGGATAAATGTTTGACGAGACCCTCAACATAGACACTTAAAGATAAGAGGGGTTTTGCTTTCGGGCAGAGAGTGGGAGAATGATTGATCCATTGCAAGGAAGTAAGGATTTATTTGGCCAAAGCAACACGGGTAAAAGGTCTATTATCTTTTTGATTAGAAACAAAAGAGCACCGGGGTAAGCTAGTAAGTGAGTGAGTGAGTGAGTGAGTAAATATATGAGTATGAAGGCAAGAGTTTCGTAGAGTGACGACCAAAAAATACGTAAACGTGCAAAGAAAACCCTTTATATTTATGAAGATGCAGTCGTCAGGTTTCATCATTTTGACCCCTCCGTCGAAAGAATGAGAAAATATGATTGATATTGGATATGAGAGATATTGTCGGGAAAAAGATTTGATGACACTAGAGATGTATCAATGTCGATCACGAGAGAATAAGAGATAGAGAGAGAGAGAGAGAGAGAGAGAGAGAGAGAGAGAGAGAGAGAGAGAGAAAGAAAGAGAAAGAGAGAGATAAAGATAGAACGACAAAGATTTGGGATGAGTAAGAAAGAAGAAAGAATGATGTTTGGATAAGACTGTTATACTTAATAAGATAAGGGGAAATATTAAAGGGACAATTGAGATGTTGGTGGTCATCGATATATAAGTATACACATATATACATATATATGTATATAAATGTATACTTATTTATCGAATATCTATACGACAAGAGACAAGAAGATATTTGTGGTGGTGCGGACCGTAACGACGAGAGATATACTTGGTAACGAGCGAGCACTGCCAAAGTGTAATTTGGCTGGCCCCAATTCATGCCAGGAGGTTGTGTCGCATGTTAGTCACCTGGTGGTACTCCTGGAAGACAGCTGAGACATCGTCCTTCAACGATCGACATGATAAGGTATCCTTCTGGTTTTCCGTCTCCGCCAAGGATTGGGCTAACCTGTCCTTCAATTCAACTTCTGAATCATTGTACGAACTGAGGCTCTGAGATACCGACTCCGTCTTCAAATCATCGGTCTGGTCATCGTGCAACTGAGTTTGCGAGCAATCATTTGTCGTTGCTGTTGTTGTGCTAGACACGATACTGGATTGGATGATAGTATTTGGATTTGGACTTTTGACTGACGTTGGGACAATTTCTGTTTGATTACCGGACACGTGACTAATGTTACATTGAGGTGAGGAAGGAGGAGATAATGCTGCAGGTGGTGGTGGTGGTGAATCTGGGAACTTTACTGAGCTACTTTCAATTAAAGGAGAAGAAGAATCTTCATCCTCTTTGGTAGGAAGACAAGGGGGAGGTGGAGGAGTGGAAGGTAGTGATGGTTGTAGTGAACATGTTGTGATTTCCGTAACAGTACTTAAAAATGGACTCTGTCTTTCCGTGGAAACGTCTGTCGTAACTATTGTGTCTTTTTGTGAACTCGACGAGAGTTCATTGGCATTTTTTGTCAAGTCCTCTAAAGATTCTTTTGTTTCTACGTTATTCAATTGATCGTTGGAAGCGACTTCGGTGATAGTAGTCGATGTTGTTGAAGATGATGGAGGTGGCGGTGGTGGTGGTGGATGTGGTTGTTCAGGTATAAGTTCTTCAAAGGATTCTCTTGGTTCTGTCATTGGCAAAATAACTGAACTTTCGACTTCAGCAATGTCGCATATATCTTTTTCTTCAGTCGCAAAGTTCTCGATAAGAGTTATTAATTCTGTCACAAGTTGATCTTTGGGTTTCATAACATCTTGAGGAGGAGGAGATGGAATTTCTACTTTGAATGGTTCCTCTGAAAGATCATCTTCCACTAACAAGCTTGTGTTTGATGATACTGGCTTTGTCTCGATTTTTTCTTCGCTCAAAATCTCGTCAACGATGTTTTCAGTTTCTACTTTAGGTGTCACGATTTCGATTATTTGGACTTCATCATTTTCTATCTCTACTTCTTCGCAAGGTATGACTACTGCTGGTTTGGCTTCTACGATATGTTCCTGATACGTTTCTTCAGGATTTAAAACATCTTTGGACGGATTTGAATTCTTAACTTCTTCCAATATGATCACCTCGTCGTCTTCCACCTCGCACGATGGTGTATCATCAATAAGAACCTTCTTGTCATCTTTGATACATGTATCAATTGGATCATTGGATACTTGTTTAGATTCAATAAGAATATCAAAATTTTTGTCCAGTTTAATTTCGTCAGTCTGTAATTGTTCAGGCGTCTGGATATCTTCGACAATGTCATCCGAAACATTACATTTAGGGCTTTTAGGAATATCTTCGACAATAGTTACTAAATGTTCCAAAATGTCTGTATTAGTCTTACCAGTTTTTAGTTCGGAATTAGGGTTAGTCTTATCGGGTTCCGTCAGTACAGAAACAGTCTTATCATCAGTCTTGTTAACGATACCCACAGGTTCGTCTTTTGTAAGCAATAGAGTGGAATCTACATTGGCAGGGATTATTATCTTTTCGATAACTGTAGTTGTTGATTCAAGGTTCGAGAGAATTGGAGATGATTGTTCGAGTGGATCGTTGTTAGAAACGCGAGTGAGCAATGAGAATTCTGGTGCGTCTTCTAGAGGGTCTTGGTGTAATATTGGCGGTAAAGTTGGATTGACCTCAGTTGTAGCAACGTCCTTATCTATAACAGGTTCAACAGGCAACTCTAAAGCTTTAGCAAGGGCTGTAACAGTTACGGCTGTTGCTGCTGCTGCCTGCTGAGCTTGTTGTAAGGGCGATGGTTCGATTGGAGTTGGAGGAGGACTCGATGGAAATTGGGATGGGAGATCCTCACTGGTTTTCCTCTCAATGATAGACGGCGTATCGACTGGTTGAACTTGGAAGACGGAGGCTTTGATTGAGTCTGTTAAGGACTGACCACCGTCGTCTGCTGGACTGACCTCAACTACTTTCTTTTCCCCCTCGACATTTTCGACATCTCCTTTCTTATCCTCTAGAGGAACGGGAGTAGGGGCGGAAGGAGTGGGCTCCTCTTTCTTTTCCTCGGCAACTGGGCTAGTTGCTGGTGGCGTCGTTGTTGCTGCTGCTGCTGCTGCTACTGCTGTTGGTGCTTCTGTTGATGTTTCTGGTGTCGTAGCAACTGCTGGTGCTGGTGCTGCTGCTGCCGCTGTTGTCGTCGTCGCCGTCGTCGTCGTTGTTGTTGCTGATGACTCTTCGTTTGCCTCTACTGCCGGTGATAATGGCGTACTGCTGTTATTTTCCGACGGACTGCTTGCATCGGATTTGTTTTCTTCCGCTGGACTACCGGTCACAGTTCCTTGATCACAATCCTCGCCGCTCTAAACAAATCGATAAGTTTGTATTAGATAAAAAAAGTACTAGTATATTATTATTTAATACAGTGTTAATACTTTATAACTTTTTGAAGTGTTTTATAGAATTTATCACGATAATTCTAAGAATTTATAGTGAACGGATTGGGACACACAAAAGTAGTTCGTGTTTCTCCGTGTGCCAGAACATTAGCAAGGATAAACCGATAAAAACTGCATTAGCTTCCAAGGGAATAGAAAATCGATTGTAAGCAGATCAATGCCCAAGGCAATTCGGGATATATCTTCTCTAACACGCTTGCTTTGCTGGTGAAGACTTTGGCTCGTCACCAAAAGGAGAAAAGGAACTCTATTGAAAGTTGGAATGTTGCCAGGGAATCATTCGTGTATGCTAAAAAAAGAAAAAGAAAGAGACAGAAAGAATGAAAGAAAGAGAGAAAGAGAGAGAGATCATTGTCCGTAACAAGTAGGAAAAATAAACTTCCGGTTAACCTACCACCTTCTTCCGATGAAGTTCAATTAAATGGTGTATTGTTTCGTAACTTAGATGTTTTCACAATTGGCTTTAGCTCTTGGAAACGAAGAAAACATTGTGTGGAATTAAGTTTTAAAAAAGGTTAATAAAAGATTTGATGATTTCATGTTAATAATATTTCTCTGCGTGTATTTGGAATACATTATAATACGTACACGCATATAGAAAAAAGTGTGTATCGATTTGGAACTGTCGAAAATTCCGGACACAATTTTTTTTGTCGACCTCTGCTATTTTTTTGTCATTTCGATGTTTTACAGATCGAAATTGCGAAAGGACATTTATTCGGTTCGTCGGAGCGTGTCCGACGATAATATATTGCAACGTATAAACGAAGAGAACGGTAGAAAAGCCATGTGTGTTACTTTTTTTTGTGTGTTTCAATATATATATGTATACAGTATGATGCATACGTGCATATTTACCATCGGTTTAATATATGAATATGTATACGATTGCATGCTGATTGCATTAAATGCTTTAAAAACAAAAAAAAATAGATCTGTGCAAAAATATATATATCATATACATACAAATATAAAAAATACCTTTAAAGAAAATTTGTTTTTAAATTTCTCGCCAATTCGTAGATTTTTTGTGTTTGGCTAATTACCACACAATAATCTAACGATTATTTTTTTATTTTTCATCATGCAACGCGGAACAGAAATAATTTTATTACTTTGGTTATAATAATATTCATCAAATGACTGTCATAAAGATTTGCCAGAAGACTTTGAGTAGTAACAGGAAATTGAATTACAATTATTCTTCGATCGAATGAGAAAAGTATTCATCATAAAAACGAACACAAATAAATAAATATATAAACAAATTGGCCGACTAATTCGCATCTAATAGTTGCCGCAAGTATTTATTTAAAATAACGAAGTAGAAAAAAGAAATAATGCGAGGAAAAAAGAAAACAGGAGAGAAGAAACGAAAGACTGAACTTTCGAGTCAGCGTCTTTCTTCGTTCTATTTTCGGTTTCCAAACGCATACTAACACTAACCATTACTATAGCACATATTACTACTACGATAACAACTGGCAAGCTTCTGTTTCGAGCTTTGCTTCGAGCTTTTATACTTTCACAGTGTTGCTTACCCCTGTGCTAGCTAAGTTACATCTTGGTATTATGTTCTTCTTACTATTTTTATGCTTTCTCAAAGTACGTTGCCGTTGTTACCATCTCTCGTTGCCAATAATAATTTAAACAAACTGAATCGTAATAATTTGAATAGAAAAAAAGAAAAAAAAATGAAAAATAAAATATTCAACTAATTTCAATAATATAATAAAATGAAAATTTTCTAATTACGTTACTGAATGATCATCATTCGTGTTAACGTTCTAAATTTAATTTCAAGTTGACAATGATGATACCTAAAAGATATACCGTTGAAGTACCCCTGTGCCAACATTTTTTGGGATCATTAATTGTTAGTTAAGAACATGGCGTCTATGTACATAATCGATAATGCATTCAACTTTTCTTCTACAATTAGTTATACTAATTCCAACTGTTGAAGAGGAGTTCCATGTATATTATAAATCATTATCTTTCGTAGGACCTAATTGCGTCTAAGATGATACGAATACGTTCGCATCGAATTGCGTTCAGTATATATTTTACTGCGTAGTATTGAATCGTGTTACGATGAGGTAACAATATTCCCTTCATATTCATCAATTTACTATATTTTATGTTAGTTTTATAACACTCTTATATATTAAATATTGTTTATGCATTAGATATCACATAAATGAATTAATAAAAGTATATATATATATATATAATGTCAAACGAAAATATTAGCGCCGTCTAATTCATTTTCCTATAACATTATCTTATAAATTAGTAACAAATTTAATTTTTTGTTTATAACAAATATCTCTTGAATTATAATAAAAATAAATGGAGAACTTATAGAAATATTCACATTTTCAGTTTTCAATTTATTAGAAGAACCTACTTAATTAATAATATTAGCCTTGATATAATTATATATATAAATATATAATTTGTCAATCATACCGCAACGTCGACTTTCCACCACATAAATGGGACTGCTGCCAGAAAGTATTGGGCTCCACGGGAAAGGGCACCGGCAGCTCTATATACGCCATTGCTCATACCTCGTCCTAATTTAATGACCGACTCCATCGTCAAAATATATAATCTTTTCTTTTGTATATATATTTTATTGTTGTTCAATCTAATATTTATTCCTTTTTTATTTTATATTTTTTTGTCCTTCGAACACTTCACTCGTTGTTTAACTGTCACGAATTTTAAAAAAACTTTATCAAATACCTATACTTTTAAACAAACGATCGAGATAAATCAAACGCATAGATATAGCGAAAAAGTTTTAAATTTGAATGTCAAAACAATTCCAAAGTTCAACAGAAACTCTACGAGAATATGGATTTTCTTCGATTTACGTTAATACGGTATTATTATCCTAAGAATAGTCTACTTCGAAGAAGATTATCCTTGAAAAGAAAAGGGTTACCGTATAAGGATATATCTATTATTATTCATAATGAGTTTTAAAAAAAAAATAAAAAAATACTAACAATAACAATAAGAAAAAGTGGTTTTTAAGATTTTACTGGATTAATTACAATTATCTGTCTTAATTCTATTAATAGAAATACGAATCGTTGTGTGGCTCATGGCCGAGTGAAAAATAGCATTGAAATATGAATCACTATCGTTTACTGCAAAAACCCCTCTCTTCCATCGTGCTCTCTCCCACCCCTCATTACTACTTATATAAGAAAATTATCGAAATTTGAGAATTTGAATAGGAGAAAAAGATGTGATTTGAATTATATATATTTTTAGAGAAAAAAATTATCTAATATATATAATAAGATTTCCTTTTTTTAAAATAATATATCTCGATCGATCGTTTTCGTTTAGTTCACGATATAAAAGATTAATGAAAAAAAAAAGTTTGCACAATTTTTCTATTGCTTCTTCTTTTTTTCTCTTTTTAATAAATGTTTACCTATAATTAAAACGATACACACAAATATGCAATGAGGAACACACGTACATAAACTGTAAAATTAAGTATTTGTATATATATTTATGTATGTATATATATCACTTATGTACTCGTAGAGAATGATCCGTGCGAACTGTTTGCCGATGGCGAACTACTCGGAGAAACCAGTGAGTTCACGAGGATTTATATAGAAACCCACGACGACAACTACGACTACGACGACGAGAAGAGAAGACGACGAAGAGGATCGTCCCACGTCTTGTTAGTGTGAGAAAGAAATAGAAAGAAATAGAAAGATAGAAAAGAGAAAGAGAGAGAGAGAGAGAGAGTTCCGATATAGAATGTCAGAGAAAGAAAAAGAAAATAAAATTAAAATACAAAAATTATATATACTTTTTCTTCTATCTTATTTATTTCTTTTTTTTTTAATGTAAAACAAAAAGTAAAATGATCAATTATAATTTTATATAGATTTGAATTCAGTTTGGATGATAAATATAAATTATCACGACAAGAAATAAATTTGAAATAATAATAAAATACGATTATTCAATATTGAAATTAATTGTTAATAAAATATTACAATTCGTCGAGATAAGATTTGATTAATTTAGAAATTAAATTATTGTAATTAGATCTCGAAGGATGAATGTAAATAATATTACGAAAAAAAAGAAGGATAAAAATTATTCTAATTCAATTTATAATATTGAAAATATTAATTGTTAGTAAAATATATATAACAAAAAGAAACAAAGGAGAATATTTATATTAATTAATAAGTTATATTCTTGAGACAATTTATAGAAATAAAATGATAAATAAAATGATAATATATAAAAAAAAAAGAAAAAGAAAATACAAAAAGAATGATTATATTAAACCGAAATTTCGAATTGTCGAATCGAATAAAAATGAAATAAATAAATGGTTCATATCTAAACCAATTATAAAATGAACATAAAAAAAAAGGAATATAATGAAACTACGTCGTAGAAATGTAACTTCGTATAACTTTGCACGAGGATAGATACACAAGTAAAAAGATCGTTTTCTCGTGTCGAACTACACGGCATGCGAACGTGTACTGTCTGTTGTTTATCGAAAACGAACTCAGCGAAGGGAGGGAGAGAGAGAGAGAAAAAAAGAAAAAAAAAAGACAGAGAGAGAGAGAGAGTAACAAAGATAACAAATAAAATAAAATAAATGTAAAAAGAGAAAATAAGATGCGATTAAAGAAGACAAACATTATTCGTATCTCATATACGCGTTGTTTTTTTTTTTATTTATTATTAATTTTAAATAAATCATTCGATATTTACATTCGAATTTATTTTCGGATAATTATCGAAAGGAAGTAAGTGTCATCGATTATCTTTAATAAAAATAAAATATATTATTATTATTATTATTATTATTTTTTGTTAAACTTTTCCTTCGAATCAACGAC